CTATTAGAACAAAGTTTAAATGCTTTATAATCAGATTTTAGACTCAATCAAATAGAAAATTAGATAGGGAAATAGGTGAAACTTTCTAAGCCAATCAATTACTTACCGCTCTCGTAATCAAACAATCAACTCTAAGAGACAATTCGATAGTGATATGGGTGATAATTTCTTAGCAAATTAAATGCTAACCACTCTCTTAATCAAACCATAAACTACAAGAGAAAATTAGGTAGTGATACAAGTAATTAAATGCTAACATTTAACTCAATTAGGTGAGAGAAAATTAGGTAGAAATTTCTAAGCCAATTAAATGCTAACATGTGATTACATCCGCTCTGAAATAGTCCACTCTAACACGATCCATGATGATATTAATTATACACGTTAATCAAATTCTCACACACTCTATCTTTTTATCAAAGTTTGATGATGTTATGAAACTATTCTAACAAATTAACTCTCCACTTAATCTTGTATAAAAGATTATATGTTAACTCGCCTAGAGCTCTCGGAGTCCTCCAAATCCTACGTCACCTCTCTTCCAAATGATTTGGGCATTAGAGAAGGCTTCTATTAGGCATGCATCTAACATAATTTCCATAATACTCTTCGTTAAACTAAATAAGCTCTCAATGCTAGACTTGAGATAAGATTTATAAGAGCCAAAGTTGACTCTAATCCTAATACCTCGAATACTGGATTCTACCTGATGGTACACAATCGAGACAAGATATAATAAAAAATCCTATAAAGATAATTTTGATGAAGGAAAAAAATGATATTCAAATTTCACTATTTTCATTATGAATTTATGGATTGTGATAATTTTACACAAATCTCTAGCGTCCTTCAAACTCCTTATTTTTTAACAATAATTATCTCAATAATTGATTGGTTATAAGGGTATCTTACGAATGAAATATATGTTTGTTATCATAATCACTCTTGATAAATCAATTTGATGAGGAAAACTATTATTGACGTCTTGGTTAATTCGATGTGGTTTGAACTCATATGTATAGGTTTGTTTATAGTGCTTTCGAGGTAGAAACGTTGAGCTCTCGAGATACCACCTACATGAAGATAGAGGTCGGGAGAGGTTTCCCTACCTGATCCCTCCGATGCCCAAGTTAATTATCCAAGATATATAAGTATGGACGCGAGTAGTCAATAAAAGTAAGCCTTCCCCTCCTCATGTTGAAGATGAGCTCTTATACATTGTCACAGAGCGATAAAATATTCTGAGAAGGCAACCTCTAATCACCTCCGACAACCTTTCCTTAGCTTGTTGTCCACATGGGCGATAGGGGGGTAGCCCATAACTGTAGACTTTGGACCCTTGTTCTGGTGGGCAAGCGGGTAGAGGGTGTCCCTCGCCTTTTCTTTTCACCCTGGACACAGGGTAAATGGTCACAGGATGACCCTTGTCCACATGGACTCCTCTCGTAGCCCACCTCGATGGTGAGCAAAAGAGGAGGGGTAGGTGGGTGATGGATCCCCATCTCTGCCCAAGACGTGGAGGTCATGAGACACTACCCGTACCCCGACCCGAGTGGTAGAGGTCATAGATGAGGAAAGGAGGAACCCACTTTCGCACCACCTATAGCCCACTTCAACTCCTCTCATAGCCCACCTCAACGATGAGCGGGAGAAGAGGGATAGGTCATGATGGGCCTTTGTAGCTTCCCTGTTGTGGACCTATTGCCTGATGTGGGTCTCTCAAGGATGAGCAGAAAAGAACCCACCTGTACACCAGCTGTATCTCACCTCGGCTCCTCTCACAACCTGCCTCAACGATGAGCAAATGATAAGGGGCAAGTGGGTGATGGATGACCGCCTACAGCAATCCTCTCTTCACCTATGGCCATCGTCATACCATGGAGATCGATAAGCCCAACTGTTAGTTATAGGTAGCTTGTAAGCCAATCACATAAGTGATGACCCGTGTGATATGATACACACTCCTTTTGCTTATTATGAATTTAGTATTTTTCTTACTTTATATCGTTTGTTATATATATTATGATATCCATGAATCTATGCAATAAGAATCAAATCGTGATGAGATCATGATAATAAGATTGATTCGCCTTCAAACACTAACCCTCAATAATCTTGGTCGTAGGTTACTTCAGAGGGATATCAAGATAATTGAATAGGTTGGTGTGTCATATACCTATCCATATTATGGAGGTAACTGGTCTCATAGTTGCTTGTGTAGGGATACAGTGCAAGTGCTCATTAGAGAATGAGTTCACTTATTGATCCACTCATAGAATACTAGATGGTTGAAGATACCTCATTGTCAGACAATGATTTTATTATCTGATATATTTGGTCCTTAGACTTGAGATACCAAGAATTTCCTATATAAGTACTACACTTTTTAATACCAGACTTATAGGTCTGAAAGTTTCAAATCTGGAATAGTTGGTCATCGGGAGTGATAGCCAATATGATCAGGGTCATTCGGATTGAGAGAAAAAAGTTCTTTTGGAGAATCCAATTAGAGCGAGACCAAAGTATAAACCATATAGGCCAAACAACACCATGCCCGGAATACGATCTCTAGGATATTAGATAGATGAGGGACTATAGATATATGATAATTTAGGATAGACAGGTCTAAAGGATTGTATTCCCTTGTATCGTTTAGGGATTACGGTATAGTGGCCTAATACGTCAACAATCATTGAGTCAAGTGAATTATTATGAAGCTTCATAATAATTCACTGAGCCAAAAGAAGTTATGAAAGGTATAACTCACGGCCAGCTCGATATTGGACCTAAAGGGTTATACATATATGATAGGTGTTGCGATGAGTAAAGGTTCATATATGAGAATCCGTTGGAGCTCCTATTTTATTAGATATTCAATAATCCTTTGAATTATTGGATCCTATAGATGAGATCAATAAGAGCTAATGAGAAATTATTGGGTAGAGATCCACTAATCTAAGAGGTTTAGGTAGTTGGATAGAGATCCAATACCCAATATAGCAGGATCCATTAAAGTTAAATTGACAACGGACCTCTATAAATAGGAGGGAACCAAAGGGTCATAGGCTTAGACCTTTTCGGTTGCCACCTTTTATTCTCCTCACCCCCTCTCATTCTCCGCCAACAACACCTATTTGGGGCGTGTGGACGGTAAGAAGGGTCGATCCCCTTTCTTGATCTCATGTTGCACATAGAAAGGAGGATCGTGCAATGATTTGAGGAGCGTTTTCGTAGCTCATGTCATATGGATCATCGTTAAAGAGGAGGATAGTTAACCTCCTTCATCCTCTCTCATAGATCTGTAGGATTTTAGGGATATACGATCTCCCTAAGTAATATACATCCCTTAACACACGTGATTTTTTAATTTTACGGGTTTTCACACACCAATCTTCGTACGACGACAAGAAACTATTTTTTTTTATAGAAAATTAGGATTTTTTTTTTGTTCTTCCACTGTACATATAATGTAGCCCTAGGTTTCCCAACACCGACCCCCTCTTCTGCTTGAGGCACGGAGATCGAAAAACTCAACCCTCTTATCTCCTATGATCATCATTATGTCATAGAGGTTGGGAGGCCTAGCCCCCGCCCCCACCCGAGACATGAATGTCGAGATTGCCTCTGTCCAAGGCATGGAGGTCAAGAAACTAAACCTCATCCCCACCTAAGACGTGGAGATAAGGAGGCGCTACCCCCATCTCCACTCAAGGCGTGGAGGTCGTGGACGAGAAAAGGAGGAACTCACCTTCATATTGCCTGTAGCTCGCCTTGACGATAAACAGAAGAGAGGGAAGTCGACGATAGGGCTTCACGGCTTCCCTGTTATGTACTCATTGCCCGACATAAGTCCCTCAAGGATGAGCAGAGGAAGAACCCACCTCCATACTGCTTGTAGCCCACCTCAGCTCCTCTCATAGCCTGAACAAAAGAGGGGCACCATGGAGGTCGGAAAGCCCGACTCCTTCCTTCGCATAATGTGTGGAGGTCGGGAAAACTCTCCTCTATTACAATTATTATCACGTCATGGAGGTCAAGAAGCCTGAACTTCGCCTATGCTGGGGGCATAGAGGTCGAGAGGCCCGACCCCTCACCCCCACCCAAGGTGTGGAGGTCGGGATCTTCTTTGCTCAAGATGTGGGGTCAGGAAGTCCAATCGTCTCTTCTTGAGACGTGGGGTCGGGAAGCCCGATCCCCACCTTTGCCTAAGGTGTGGAGGTTATGATAGCCACCAACAACGCAGAAGGGAAGCAATCTCGGACAAACATGACAAATGAACTCATGCTAGACGAACGAAATGCATCACCAGGTCTACAATGGATTGAACAGGTATAAACTTGATGTGCCGAATGAACTAGATACCACACTTCGAACCTCTCCCGCAAGAGTTCCGAAACACACCTGAGGGGGGAGGGGGTGGAACAGATGATATGAAGTACACAATTAGCGAATCGTTATTCGACACGTAACTACCACGTGATGTCCGGGGTGAAAAAAGAAGGGGTTATAGGTTACCCCCTTTGTTGCCCACGTGGACAAGAAGCCAATGAGAGGCTATCGAAGGCGGTTAGAGACTACCTCCTCATAAAAAATTTCATGAAATATTTTATTTATTTATATTCTAAGTATAAAAGCTCATATTCAACATGATAAAAAATAAATACTTCTTCTTTTGATCATTCGTGTCTATAGACCGAGTTACTAATTTTGATATGAAAGGGATCGGATCAAAAAAAAAAAAATTTCTTGACCTCAATATTTATATAGATAGTACATTTGATGTTTCTACCTTAAAAGCATCTTTGGATAAATTTATGTATACTCGTTCGAATCATATTACACTGATTAAAACATCAATCGTCACAACTCATACCAAAATTATGTATATTATAAAATAAGCAAAGTTGGAACTATTGTTTGATTGCACACTTTCTACATCTATATTATATTATATGGCTTTGGGTCGGAATCACCAAATATAAGAAAACATTGCTTGCCGAGCAAGGCTGGATTCTGACAACTTTTGACCCACCAACTCTGGAACGCAAATGTGGAACGCATTTCGTTTAACATCGATGAGTTTTGTCGTTCCTCTTATATGACCAAGTCTTCGCCGTTGCCCGTCAGAGTTCGGTGGTCGACGATTTCTAACACTCCCATACTTCACAACCTCTGTCTGTATTTGCAGACTTGGTTGCGTCTATAAGAGAGGTTCAATTGGAAGACGAGTCACTAAAATTTCCTGCAGCCAAGCAAGAGAGATCGGCAATGTCTTCCTCTTCGCCCCTGTTCCGCCATGTCTCCACCTGCATCGTCAAGCCGCCGCCTCGCCCCCGCACACGGTGCCACCTCGCGGTTTGGGACCTATCAATGTTCAACGCCTCCTACATCCAGAAGGGCCACCTCTTCTCCACCCACCTCCTGTCTCGCCTCACCATCGCTGACGTCGTCGACCGCCTCAAGACCTCCCTCTCCACTGCTCTGCTCCACTTCTACCCCCTCGCCGGCCGCCTCGTTACCGAGGAAGCTGTTGACGAGCAGGGCAACGTGACGGGCATCTACGTGTCCATCGACTGCGATGGCCAAGGTGCGGAGCTCACCCACGTCGTCGCCGATGGCATCACCGTCGCAGACGTGCTCGCGCCCTCGAGCGACGTGCCCTCCTTCGTCCGGTCTTTCTTCCGCCTCGACGGAGTCATCAACTACGACGGCCACTCAGAGCCCCTGCTCGCGGTGCAGCTGACGGAGCTGGCGGACGGCTTCTTTGTTGGGTGCTCCTTCAATCACGTCGTCGGCGACGGCACTTCCTACTGGCAGTTCTTCAACGCGTGGGCGGAGATAGCTCGAGCCGACGGAGCTGCGGCCGAGATGTCACATCCTCCGGTGCACGACCGGTGGTTCATCGATGGCTCCGGGGGCCTTCCCATCAAGCTTCCTTTCACGCGTCCCGACGAGTTCATCGACAGGCCGACGCAGCCGCCTCTGTATCGGGAACGGATCTTCCACTTGTCGGCCGAGTCCATCGCCCGCCTCAAGGCCAGAGCCAATCTGGAATGCGGCACGAGCTCCATCTCCTCTTTCCAGTCCGTCGCGTCGCTGCTGTGGAGGTGCATCACACGCGCCCGAGGCCTCCCGGCCGAGCAGACGACCCACTGCAGAGTGGCCACCCAGAACCGCGCGCGGCTACAGCCGCCGATGTCACCCGACTACTTCGGCAACTCCATCTACCCCTTACCGGCCGCGGCCACCGCGGGCGAGCTGCTGGCCCACGGCCTCGGCTGGGCCGCGCGCCTCATCCACGAGACGGTGGCGGGGCATACCGACACGGCCATCCGGGAGAAGGTGGAGGCATGGATGGCAGCGCCGGTCGTGTACAAGATGAACATGTTCGACAAATTCAGCGTGATGATGGGGAGCTCGCCGAGGTTCGACGTCTACGGGTGCAACTTCGGGTTGGGAAAGGCGGTGGCGGTGCGGAGCGGGACGGCGCACAAGTTCGATGGCAAGGTGACCTTCTATCCGGGGTGGGAGGGCGGGGGAAGCATGGACTTGGAGATTTGCCTGGAGCCGCCTTTTATGAGTGCGTTCGAGGCAGACGAGGAGTTCATGAGCGCCGTCAGCCCATCACCGGAGCTTCAGTGGCTACAGGATCTTGCCGACTCGCGAGATGCTTGAGCAGTAAGTACACTGTTACATTCCAAATTCGAAGACTCGCGCAGCAAAGAGATACCATAAGTATGATGTTTGTAATTCTGATCTTGTTGGAAAAAAAATCGAAATAATTTTTTTCCTAGATTCATCGTCAAAATATCAATTTGATAAATATCAACCAGTATTAACAATAGAATAATTAATCAATCACATTGAGATCGTTTTTAGAATAACTAGAGGATCATGATAACATCAAAACATAGATCTTAGCTCTAGCATATCATCATATAGAATGGATTTTTTTTAAAAAAATTTAGGTCTCATAAAATAGATATAACAGAAAAATACCTTAGAGAAGTAAATTGTAGATCTCTCTCTCTTCCCGAGTGCTGCCGCCGTTCACTGCAAGCATTTGCTGCGCACGCTCGCTGCTCTCTCCAATTTGCTGCCCTATATCTCTTCTGCGTCTCGCCGCTCAACTCGCGAGAGCACACCGACAATAATTTGTTGCCAGTGATAAAACTTGAGGGCAGTGCTTCTGCGTCTCGCCGCTCAACTCGCGAGAGTACTCCGACAGCTGTCGGTGTGCTCCAGCATCGAGCTGGGTTCACCAGACCATCGGTTGCTCTATCGACCGGCCATTCCACGAGCCCCTGTTAATCCAATTGAATTGTTAGCCCAGTTCAACGATGGCTGCCTCCTTAGAGCGCGAGTGGTGTCGTGACCATCACAGATAATATTCCACTCGAACTCCCTATCAATCATCATCAGAATTATCACCACCACAACTACTCAAGCGTAAGGTTCACGATGAGCGAAAATATTTTGGTCCCACCGGTGGACGTTTTGGTACCGTCCAGTTGGCAGTCACATGTGCCGCTAGTCGAAGTCGCACATACACAACTCGGAAACAGCTGAGTCACGAAACGACGCTGCCCGGCTCAGAAACGACGAATGCCTAATGGTGGGCTCCACAAGGCATCATCAAACCTTGTGCTGTAGCACTCTTCCACCCACGCATGTCTAATGATGGGCTCCGCTTTGCATGCTCCACCGTCCGCAAGTAGTGATGGTCCCGACCACAAGGCATCATCAAACCCTGTGCTGTAGCACTCTTCCACCAGATTCATGGATTAGGTGTTTCGACGAATCACTTTGTTTTAGGTGCTCAGTAGCGTGAAGGTGCCGCAGCAGCTTCTCAGATTCCTCGACTTGGAGGAACACATAAACAGGAAGATCGAGTGCGTGAGTGTGAAGAGGGCTAATTATGTACTAGTTTTGTAATTAATTATTTTTAATATTTTATATTTTAAAATTATATTAATATTCTTATATTTATAAAAATAAAATATTTAATTTTATTCCTTTTCACTGAGCACGGATTAATTGTGTCTCGTTTTAATTTATCATCAAGATATTTTCATGAATGAAGAAACCAAATTAAATAATTTATTTTTATAAATATAAAAATCAAATTAGCTCATGTGAGGGAGAGGATACATATGTAATTTAAAAGGATTAATTATCCCTGCACCATTCCCAAATCCACCTTCATCATTAAGTACGCGCGTAAGCTTAATGTTTAATAGAGGACAAATATAGCAACATCTTCATCACCTTTATCCCTTTCGCACATCATCACAGATCTAACTACCATTAATTTCATTTATTGTGTGAATACGAAGGAAAGAGAGGGAAACGACGAAGTTCGAGAGGGAAAACAAGCGAGACCGCCTCTGTAGATTTCTACCTCACTTACCGTCTCCTTCCTTTGCCTCGGGTTTCTCCTCCTCCTCCTCCTCGGCCTGGAAAGCGGAAACGGGGAAGGAACGGCCGATGCCGGCAGGGGTCTTGAAGGTGATCCGCTTCGACTCGGGATCGTCGATGTACATGTCCGAGACGGATATCCAGATGAGGAACTCCCGGCTCTTGACGCCCGTCATCCGCTTCATACGGCGGTCCTCCACGAAGGCCGTCACCTCCTGCGCGTACGACACCGTCTTGCCGATCGCCTTGAACACGTGGGTGGTGGACTTCTTCTGCTTCAGCCACACGAACCCAGTGGCCCGGTTGTAGCCGACCTCCTCAATGGCCGCCAGCGGAAGCAGGCCCTTGGGCAGGTGGATCCCCTCCAGCAGACTCATCGACTGCTCCTTGCAGATGTCGGCGCCGTAGGACACCTCCGCGCCCTCGCGTTGGCTCTCGATCAGCGCCTGCGTCGACATCCCTCCGATGGTCCTCCCGCCGCGCCGAGTCGTCGGAGACTGAGTCTGGGGATGAAGGGGGTCAGCACCAGGCCCCATTTAATAGAAGCCGCGAGGGCCAGTGAAGTTACGGAATTGCCCCGGGAGCTCTTAAAGTCGAGTGGTTGGGGAAACTGTGCACCGGAGTGAAAGGCCGAGAACCGTCACATCGTGCATAACGGCCCACCGCCACATTCGACACCGTTACAATTGTTATAGTGGCTGTTATGTTCGATTCATTTCAATTAAAATAGGGAAATAACATAAATATGTACTGATCATACAAATTCTCTCTCTCTCAAATAAGTACAATTTAATATGTTCCTCCTACCAAGCTTCATCGTTCGATCAGCTCTCTCTCGAATCGATTTTGGTGTATGGATGGTAAGCTATCAAATCAAATCGATCACACTCACAATTACCGATTTACTACGGATAATTCATCATCGGATCAGTCCGTGTATAATATTATAAGAAGATTTACAAATATCGGTAAACAGAGTTGAAATTGGACACATTCTAAAGTATTAAGTCCAATTGCGATGCGAATTCGCGTATTAATGAAACGGGAGCATCGAAATCATTTATGAGGCGGTTGCGATGGTCATAGGGTGACGTTATTCCAAGGAGTGGAAAGCTGGCAGGCAAGTGCGCATTAAAGGAGTCGTCGTCGTCTGGAATGGAGCGCGCTCAAGGACGGGCGCAGTTGGCTCGCATTGAAGGGTCGTGATGTCTTTTAACGATGAGCAGTGAAGGAATCTCGCAGACGACGGTTTATTGTCGCAGGTCCTGTGAGAGAGAGTGATTGTACGTCGCGATTTGTCATCCTCTCAATGAAGACGGCACTGTAGAACCATTCAAGATGAAAAGAGAAACCAACCACCTTGAAAGGACCCGATTTGTCATCGATTGATACGTCGGTTATTTGTAACTTCGATCATTTTGTTCCAGAGAGTCATGTATAGATTGTAATGGATGGAAACCTTCGTCTTCTTCGACGCCCTCGTTTTGGGTCCGCCTTGGAACCCGCCGAGGTCTCCTCTGACCGGACGGCGAGGACCTCCTTCGTGTCGTCGCTCCGGGGACCGAGGGCCCCCGAGTGCCAGCCGGGGCGCTTCGTCAGAGAGAATCCCGCCGACGGCATGTACGTAGCCAACCGGATCGAGGGAGCAAGATCTTGATCCCTGTAAGAACAACATACCGTCTCTTTAAGCTTCTTGATCTTTTCCTTTTTCCCTGATCTGTCATGGTTCAGTAGTTCTTTAGAATTTTCATTTCTTGACTTCTACTTGGAGATTCGGAACGAAGGTTTAGTGATTATTAATCTTTTGACGTTCTTTTGTCTTCTTGGTGAAGTAATTCTTGAGATTCACGCCATGAGGATACACAATTAGGGTTTAGTGATTAATCACCGGTGATAGGGCGTCTTTTGACCCTACGTGAACCATCGACAAATGCTATAAATCGACGCAACACCGTACGCCTTTAGAACTGCGGGGTGCATGCCACGTCAAGCTCCAACGGTGCGACTGTGTGGCCTGACCACCCCAAGGGCTGGGGGTGGTGTCATCTGCTGTTAGGGCAGCATCGTCTGATGCCGCTCAAGCACCCTCGAAGACGCCACCTCGTCAGAGAGGTTATTCCGCCCTCAGAGTCAACGGCCATGCCGGACCAAGGCCCGACCAATTCTCGCACGCATGTATAAATACCCCCGACCTGATCCAAAAAAATGGGAGAGAAAAATCAATTGACCACTTCACTGACTTGCTCGTCGGAGGGGCCTCGTCGGGTGATCCTGACGAGGGCCATTTTTGTAGGAAATCACGGCCATCTCATGAAGATGAGCTGCTAACCACCTCGGAGAAGGAGAGACGCAGCACGACATACATAGCGCTCGGATCAGCACACCAAGGAACGTTGATCAGCACCCCGTCGGGAGGGCCCGGTCGACCTCGGCATCCAATTCAACCGACAGAAGACTCCTGACATTGACCCATGGACCAGGCCGTGCTGACTCATCAGTCATGATATATTTGTTCACTAATATTTTGGCGCTAGAAGGAGGACTATGTCGTAGGAGCATCCCGCGAGAGCTCTCCCCGAGGGAGAACTACCGGCCGGTCACCCTTCTGTCGGTCCCGGAGATCAGTTCCTCCCCGTCCTTCGAGATGGAGGGATCCCGACCTCGACGCTAGATCACTACTGGCGCCCGTTCAACGACCCGGACTTACCATCTCGGCCGTGTCGCTCGAGGCGTTCCTCAACCTGACCAAGCAAGTACAAGTGATGGCAGGGATGATGCAGATGCTCGTCCTACTTATTCCCCCATCGTGTAGCTAGCAACTCCCTCGATTGACCCGGCCCGGCAGAGGCCGAGTAGGGAGCAGGTCGAGACGGGAGAAGCCCAAGACCAAATGACGGACCCGAGAGGTCCGCCCAAGCAGAG